CCGGGTTTTGGAGGACTTCGCCCCGCACTTTCCGCCGACAGCAGAGCCCTTATAGTCAGCATTTGTACTGGCAACACGGGCAGCGGTCATTTATCAGGGCTTACAGCGGTGATGGAGCCAGATCCGAGCCTCTTTACAAAACCAAAACTGGCTACTATGATATCCTTGAAGTGGCACCTTCCGCCACTCGAGCCCAGATAAAAACAGCGTACTACAAGCAGTCCTTCACTTTCCACCCGGATAGAAACACTGGCAGCGAAGAGGCCACAGTCCGCTTTTCGGAGATCAGCGAGGCCTACACCGTGCTGGGAAACAAGGGGCTCAGGAAGAAATATGACCTGGGACTATTGAGTCTGGCAGACCTCACCGCTACAGTCAGGCCTTCCGTCAAGGACACGAGCGGGAGCGCAGGCAGACGGCAAACCGACAGCCGACGCTCCGTGGTGGACCCAGACGGCCGAGGAGGCATCTTTGATTTCGACCAGTTCTACAAGTCCCACTACAGCGAGCAGCTGCAGAGGCAAAGAGACATCCGAGTCCGCAAAGAGGAGATACTGAAGAAGAAACGGGACACTATAGGCGAGAAGGAAATGGGCAAGATGATGGAGCTGGGAGTTGGTATGCTGCTGGTGGTAGCCATAGGTATACTAATGAACTTAAAACGGGGATGAATACATCTGCTGGGAAACTGTGGGTCCCCCTTGAAACTCCTCCACTGATCACATTATTAAACATTTCACCTAATTTTAAGTCAGTTACTTGAACTAAATTGTCATGAAATTAAACAACAACAAGCATCCATTGGTTAAAGCTGGTGAGGATTTAAGGTTGTTGTTTTTTTTCGTTCAAATGTGTTGTTGAAAATAGCTCATTCTGGAGCTTTGATCAGCAAAAAAAAGTTATATGTGCAACATGCACATTTTCTGTTTGTGAATACGTCATATAGAAGAGGTTAAATATGACAAAAATAGAAATCACTTGTGGTCTTGGTTCATCCTGTATTACCTTTTGCACAGCAGCGCTTCGGTGGTTGGTTTACAACCGTTCACTTCAGCTCCTTTGGCTTTAATAAAGTCATTTGTCTGGTAGAAATTATACAAATGTTAATGACAAGCCAAGCTTCAATGGTAATGTGTTGCTATTTATGACATATTTATAGTAATATAAGTAAAGGGTGTGGTAATATCTTGAAAGTCCAGCCAAAATGGGAATTAAAGCAACTTTATGGTTAAAATCAGATGGTTATTTTTAAAGAATGTGCCTTTGATTATATTTATTGTGAAATTACTGGGTATATTTTTTCAGATATTTAATGAATAAAAGACTTATGGGCACTGTTTGTGTTGCCTCTTTTTATTTGATTTTGTCAATGCATGTAGTGCTTTTAGTGAGAACAGATTTTAAAACATAAAAATAAATATTAATTACATAAAACAAGCATGTGTATGTCCAAAGATCACACGATTACAATGAATACTGTATATTTAAAATCGACAAAAGTAAACACAATACTGTTTTTAAAGTAGAAGCCTTCTTAAAACAACAAATACTTACAGCACATGTAGTGCATTTAGAAATTCACACACATCATCACATTTAAAAGTAAACAAGTCATATCAGTGCATATTAGTAATGAACTCAGGTCAAATGAAACCTGCAGTGAATCTACACTCAAACGCAGTTAACATAATGATGTATTTTATAATTAAAAGTGCTTACAATACAAACAACACAAGAATCTGTTAAATAACATCACATAGCTTATTCTCGCAAGTCAGGCTTGCTCACTTGTTACTGTGTTTCTTCAGTCTGTGAAACTAAGCATTTTCCCCCTTTTCATGAAAAATATTACCTCATTTTGAATTTGATGGCAGGAACATGTAACAATAAAAGCCACGGGGGCAACAAAAGGTGGAAAAGTAAGTGGTTGTTAAAAGGAAACAGCTGGAATGAAACAGGAAACAGCTCTGTAAACTGTGGAACAATTTCAGAATAATGTTCCTCTGTAAAATTACGAAGACTGTCTCATCATCTACAATACATAAAACAGACAATCTGGTGGATAAACATGACTGTTCCAACTTTCCTAAGAAGTGATGCTGCCATCCAAGTAAAAATGAGCTCGTCTTGAGCTAATCATACATTTTCTCAGTTTAAACATTTGATGTTTTCTATGCTCTGTGGATAAAATGTGTTTTTCAATGCAAATCACAGCATTTTGCTTTTAATCTACATTAACACGATGTCCCAACTGTGTGTGTATATCTGATCACTAACAATGTCTGGAGACCCGCAGGCAGGTGTGTGTCTTTCTTCAGATAACGGGGTTTAGAGCGTCATAGAGCCGCTGCACCGCCAGTTCCACCATCTCTCTGAGTGAATCGTCCTCTGTGCATTCATCTTCGTAGCACACAGACTGGTGAGGGGATAAGAAGTCAGCGACATACTCAAACACCAAATCAGCAGCTCCCACTAACGGGACAAAAGACCCTCACCCTTGTTTTCAAGCAAATGTGCACCGTCTTCCCGTCCACAGTCACAGAGATGATTTTACCATCGCTGAAGTTCACGCATTCTTCTCCAAACATGTCCCTGAAAACAGACAGCAGACAAATAACATAATTCATTAAGAGCTTAGCAACTATTTATCCGAGGAACTTCATTTCCATAAAAATATTCATGCTACTGCATTATAAAAATGTTTTATGAATTTATTCTGTCACTTACTGCAACATGACTTCTAGCCGAGTATGGAAAACATCCATGTCCATAGTGCTGCTCTGGGTCTCCATCACTGCTCATAAGGCAGAAAGCAGATCCATGGCATTAACCAGATAGCACCCGCCTCAAACTTACAGCAGCAACTAAACACACGTGTACACCACGTGCTTAATGGCGCTTTGTTAACTGTGTTTAAAAGATGGATGTAACATCGAGTTCTGAAATGTGAAACCAATGCAGTACTTCTAATGGCCTTTAGGGGGCGACTCCTCTTACAGCAAAAAATGTCAGTTTTTATGTTATAATTTCCCTGCTTTTCATTTGATTTATGACTTTAGTAAAGACATTCTTCAATTAAAGACTAAGACTATATATCTTTTAAATATTTTTTTTAAATTATGGTTACATGTAACATAATATATATGACAAAGTATAGTATGCTTAATTATTTGCAGTATCTTATCTGATTTATTATGAGAATGTAATGCCTGATCATTTGCACCCAAAACATCAAAAATGGGGGGCAAAAGGGAGGAGATCGCGTTTAATCGATTATAACACGAGGTCAGAAATATAAGTGCTGACATGAGTAGTGTCCACAGAAACCTCTGAATCTCAGCTAAAAGCTCATGTAAACCATGTCTACAAACACCAAACAAAGCAAAGACACCAGACAGTTAAAAGAGCAGTTACGTCACCGTGAATCTGTGGACAGGTAATATCCATATCTTGATTTAGGATTTTCTGGAGTTAAACGGGAACCAAAGCATATTTTCAAAGGTGTTATATGCTATAAAATACTTTTAAAAATTAGGTGAGGGAAATAAAAAATCTATTTTTC